TGCATTGCTTGTTTGGTTTGAACAATTTAACAACCTTAAATTTCAAATGCTTTTCCCCACAGGGTTTGGTGTTGGACACATGCGTGACACAAAGACAAAAGGTAAATGTAGATGCAACCTTGATGTCATGGATATGCTTTACTCTTTGTTGATATATAAATTTACAATGTCTGTCTGCCTCTTGCAGGAATTTGGGTATGGGGAACCCCAGTAGAAATGGATATTAATGGAGTAAAAACTTCTGTGTTTTATCTTGATACTGAGGGATTTGAAAGTGTTGGGAAGTCAAATGTATATGATGACCGGTAATCCCCAAGTCATCATGCAATCTTCAATTTTCCTTTCATGGTCGTTCAAATTTTGTATATTTCGCTAGCTGTCTGAGTATGCCTTTGCAGGATTTTTGCTCTGGCAACTGTCATGAGTTCTGTCCTTGTTTATAACCTGGCTGAGACGGTGAGTTGTATAACTCGTGATGTTAGAAGCATGTACTAAGTCCTTGGTCCATTATTGTTCAAGAAACTTGCCTTATTTGATTTTATCTCTTTGCTTGTCATTTTGTGTAGATCCGCGAAGCTGACATTGCTCGGTTGTCATTTGCTGTTGAGCTTGCTGAAGAATTTTATGGAAGGTTTGCACTTTCTTCTATTCCTTATTCTCATTGTATTTAATTTGTGCTTCTATTACCAAAACTGACATGTTTTGTGGCTTGTTTGCAACCATGTGGCAAAAATAGAGTGAAGGTAATTTCCAATCCTTTAAATCGTTATGCCTCATGTGTATTATCTTCCAATAAATTATGCATGTGAACGGTGAGATTCTTTTGTAGGGACAAGATGTTGCTTTTGAACCTGCAAAGCTATTGTGGCTTATCCAGCGTGATTTTTTGCGTAAGTTGAGAAATACATGTGACATGTTTTTAAAAGTTAAATACGAGGAACATAGAAGTTCCAATGACATTCCACCTAGATTTGTCTTTTCACTATCCACCCGTTTCTCCAAGCTTCTAGCAGAATCCTCATGAGCTGACATTCTTGTGCGTGTTCTGCAGAAGGGAAATCTGTGGAAGACATGGTGCATGAAGCTCTCCTTCATGTCCCTAACAGTGATGGTTAGTCTTTTTCCCCCCCATGCATCCTTGCACAAGAGCTGTTTTTGCATAAAAGGTGCTACAATTTATTTATTTCTTATCATAGGTTTAATTTAGGGTGCTTTTGGGCATTGCAGGCAACAAGAATATTGATATGGTATTTTCTCCCTTATATTATCACTTGGCGCTGAGTTATTGCTGTTCAGAGAATGAAAGCCAACATTTTTATGTCTTTATCAGGTCAACCAGATCCGAGATTCTTTGGCTATTATGGGTGATAATAGCACAGCCTTCAGTTTACCACAAGTATGAGTTTTCCTCTTTTCTTGCATGCATTTTGTTTCTGAGTCAGTCACTTGAGTTCATTGTTGCTTAAAAAGTAGTGTCATTTTGAACCTGAATGGCAACGCATGTAATTTTTAAAGATGTTTCCGAAGGTACAGAAAAAAGTTGAAGTTTTGGGTATTAAGTTGTTTCCAGTTTGTCCTAAGGTTTGTGTGTTGGATATTTACAATTGCACCAATTCTATGCCAATTAGATATCCCGCGCCCTCTGCATACTATATTTTGTTTCAGCAAATTTGTTATGATTACAGTTTTACTATTGTAAAAATTTATATTCAGGCTCCTTAGTGGTTATTGCTATCATTGCTAACTCTATTGGGAGAGGGACGGCATCTGTGAAACATGGTTATCTGCTCCTTACCAATGCATATGATGTGTGTTATCCCTTAGCTATAGATGTATTATTCTATTTGTTTGTCAAGTAATCTCATTCTGTGGTGATTCTGAACTGTCAAACAGCCTCACCTTCAACGAACTAAACTCTGTGACATGAAGGATGGTGAACTTGACCCGATGTATGTTAAAAAAAAGGAACAACTAAAACAACTTGTTGCTAGTATCATCCGTCCAAAGATTGTGCAGGGAAGACCTCTAAACGGAAAGGAGTTTGTATCTTTTCTGGAGCAGGTACCTGTTATATTAAAATGTTGGTCAGTTAAAATAAGCCATAGCTATGTTCCATCGGGTCAAGTTCATAGCTATGTTCCTTGTTTCTCTATTTTTGTTTCTGCTTTTTATTAATTCATCCTTCAGATTCTTGAAGCCTTGAACAAGGGGGAGATCCCATCAACAGGCTCTCTGGTGGAGGTATTCAACAAGGGTATTCTTGAGCGATGTTTAAAGCTATACAATGAAAGGATGGCAAAATTGAGTTTACCTCTTATAGGGCAATCTTTGCAAGAATACCATGAAAGGTCCATGGAGGAAGTGATGAAACTTTTTGAGGAGCAACATTTTGGCCGTCACCATGCAAAGAAATCAGTCGAGCAACTAGAAGAAGAAATAGAAAAGGTATAAGCACTTTCTAATAACAGTAAGGAGCCTTGGATTATTTTTGGTAGATCAGGTCAGTGGCTTGGTGGAAATTGAATAAACAAGTATACAAAGTGAAGTTTTATTTGAATATCAGATTTCTATAAGCACTTCCAGTCACTGCATCGCGGCTTGAGAGTGTGTTTATAGACAGTCTTCCTTGGACCATCTGGTTAGCATTTTCTAGAACGGGTCTATAAAATCCTTGGGTAACTGTTAACAATGAACCCATCCCAAAGTATTATGGGTGGCCAGTGGCGCTCAGCATTGGGCAAGTGCATTAAGTTTAGTTCAATATGTTGTGTGTGTAGGGAGGGCAGGGGAGGAGGAGGTCCAATTGCTGGGCTTACAATAGGGGTCCCTCTAAACCCCTCTCCTGGTCATATGTCTCTACATTAACTCAACATGCCAAATTGTCTTAAGATATTTTGTTGGCGTCCTCACTTGCACCAGATACACATCCTGCAATTTTCGAACATGACCTGTGCTTTTTAAACTCTGGGATTTATCTAGGTGCATAAAAATGTGATCATGGCAAATGAATATCGGTCTTCAAAGCTCTGTGAGGCATTGTATACCAGATGCGAGGATAAAATGGACCAACTTCAAGTTCTCAGACTTCCTTCCATGGCAAAATTCAATGCAGGATTCCTGCAATGCAACCAAAGTTTTGAGCAAGAGTGTGTTGGACCTGCAAAAACAAACTACGAGCATCGAATGATGAAGGTTAGGCATACCTTGTGATGTCCATTTTCACCCCCGTCTTCTTCTATCTTCATTTATTCCCTTCAGGTGCAACAGCTCATATGTAGAATGTATGATATTAATTTGCAGATGTTGGGGAAGTCACGTTCTCTATTTATAAAAGAATACAATCACAGGCTGTTCAATTGGTTGGTCGCCTTCTCCCTTGTCATGGTGGTCGTTGGCAGGTTTATTATAAAGTTTATTTTGATCGAAATCGGGGCCTGGGTCCTCTTCATCTTCTTAGAGACATACACGAGGATGTTTTGGTCTGCAGAATCTCTTTACTACAACCCAGTTTGGCATGTAATAGTGGCCACTTGGGAAACACTTGTTTACAGCCCCGTCCTGGATCTGGACAGGTAATGAAATCCTTCTTCTTACTTCTTTCTTTCCATTCCCCCCAAAACATCGGTCGAATGTCAGTTAATATAAATCAAGATGTTGCTTGGCTTGCAAGTCAAACTGTGTTTTACTTTGTTTTTTGTTTGAGACAGATGGGCTATACCAGCTGGTGTAATAGTAGCTCTCTTTGTACTGTATTGGCGGTGTAACGGAAGAAGGAAACACGGGTCCTCATGGTTATTACCTCTGTACAATAATAACAAAGGCGGTCCGAATCGGCCAAGATCAGACTAAAGAAGAAAAGTGATGGCATGCATCAAGTGCTGGATATATCATATACTTGTGTTTGGATCATTGTCTTGGGCGAGCTTTGTCTATTTTTGTACACAAAGCCCTCCTGGCACTTGCAGTTCTTTTGGTTCTCAAATGTCAAAAGAGATGAAAGATCGTACGGTCAAGGGCTGCTCGTATACGTCTAACTGTAACAATTCCAAATTGTTTGTATTAAAATTATTTTTTATTAATTATTTCAGTCATTTCTATCGAATTTGCCGGTACATTAAAATTGGAATTGTATAAAACTAGTGTTTCAAAGAAAGAAGGAAACAGAGAAATGTAATGAAATGGAAAGCAAATGTTCATTCCAGAATATGTGTAAACTGACTAGCCTATTTTCAAATAGAATATGGTATGTGGGCAAAGGTTCGAAACCCCTAGGCACCTAATGAATATTTGTGTCAACTCCCCTACCCCAATCACTTGTACTAAAAAAAAAGTTTTCAAAACCGACGGTTATAGCAGCAATTCTTCTTCTTTTTAGTTTTCCTTATTTATTTGTACACCACATGCTAAATTATATTTATAATACCATACTAATAATTATGCATATATTAAAATGGAAATAAAACATGAATGAATTGGATCTCCACATTGTCATGCAATTTATTGAATACATACAATAATTAGTTGTAAAATAAAAAAAAATTAACAACTGATACAGATATTGGATTAAGAAGCTTGAATTATGAGATACACTTGTCACTTGATATTTCGTTTTTGACTTGAATTTTTTTATAAATAAAAATTCGGAAATACGTTTCTTTTATTCAAGAATATATTCTTGGTTAATTTTCATATATAATTTCTTTTACATTGCGCAGGCCGTTTTTCTGATTCCTCTTCGTGCTGCTGAGTGATAATCTGATGAAGTTGCGGCTGTTTCCGTTTTTTTTTTTCAGTATGAAAAAAATATAATCGGAGGACCAAAATAGATTCAGGGACCATTTCAGTTAAAAACCGTAAAATAACTGAATCACTTGTCGAACCTTTTTCCTTAGGCCTCTGCCCAAATGTGTTGGGGCTCAACTAGACCGATTGGCTGGGCTGAACTTGGTCCAACTGGATTTTTTGGGTCAGAGACGACCCAACTCTGCATAAGCAGGCGATCGGGCACGTGATTTACCTTTCCTCATCCTCATCTTTTTTTGGTGCGAAGCCAGCGATCGTTTACAAATACCCTAACTCACCGATCCCGCCCCAAAACCCTTGACTCGGTCCGAGTCAACTCACCGAGTTAATCACAAATGGACACGCACTCCTCCCATCTCGCTGCATCGAACCGTTCGCGGAGCTCTCAGTCCCCGTCGCCGTCGCACTCGGCCTCTGCCTCTGCCACCTCGTCCATCCACAAGCGCAAGCTCGCGTCCGAGGACCACGCGCCGCCGTTCCCTCCCTCTTCATTCTCCGCGGACACGCGCGACGGCGCTTTGACCTCCAACGACGACCTCGAGAGCATTTCTGCCCGAGGTGGTGGCGCCGATTCCGACTCGGACGATGAGTCCGACGCTCTGGTCGACGACGACGAGGAGGACTTCGACAACGACTCGTCCATGCGCAACTTCACGGCGGCGCGTCTCGATAACAGTGGCGCTTCTGCCGTGGCGCGCAACTCGAAGCTCAAAACGGAGAATGCAACGGTCAAGAATGAGAGTTCAGACGGCGCTAAAGACGGAGGTGGAACCACCGGGACCGGTGCAGTGGGGCCCACCGTTGCCGGAGGCTCGGTGCCGGGGATCATGGTGAAGGAGGACGCCACTAAGATCTTCACGGAGAATATACAGACCAGTGGGGCTTATAGTGCCAGAGAAGAGAGTTTGAAGAGAGAGGTAAGCTTCGCTGCGCTTCTACTTTCTTTATTATTCTCATTTCCTTACGGAATTCAGTAATTTTAATTAGTATGAAGTAATTTTCAATTGGATATTTGGCTGGTTATGTATCACAGTATCAAAGTTATATGCTTTTTTTAATTTCATTTGTCTAGGAGGAAGCGGGGAGGCTCAAGTTTGTGTGCCTTTCGAATGATGGTATTGATGAGCATATGGTTTGGTATTTGTCTCTGATGAACTTCCATTTTATGACCTTTGATGGTTTAGTGATGTTGAACTAAAATAGTAAAACTAATTCATCTTAATTGTTTCAGTTATCAAAATGACTAGTGTTAAGAATTCTGTGTTGGTTCGGAGTTTAATTTATGCCTCTGTTTTTGGGTTTCCCAGGTTGGTAGGATTGAAGAACATATTTGCCAGGCAGCTACCTAACATGCCCAAGGAGTACATTGTCCGACTTGTTATGGATAGGTAACACTACTAGCTCATTTTCAAAGCATAAAGAATGAGTGATCAGTGTGCGTATGTGTTTATATTATTTGGCTTGTAATACATGAACGCGTTTCATGCATCTCTGGTAATCTAATCTTTTGTTTTAATATCCCATCTAAGTATTGGTTTATGTTTTTGGAATGACAGAAGTCATAAATCAGTTATGGTTATCAGACGTAATCATGTTGTTGGTGGCATAACATATCGACCGTATGTCAGGTGAAGTTTTTATTTTATAATCCTTTTGTTTTATCTTCTAGTATTGCCATTTTCCACATACTTCAATACAGAATTGGGCTTTTCATATGTGAGGTACCTCATTTGCCCTGTTACCTACAATCTTTTCCTGGAAATAACAGCCAAAGGTTTGGAGAGATAGCTTTTTGTGCAATCACAGCTGATGAACAAGTAAAAGGTTATGGCACCAGACTGATGAATCACTTAAAACAGCATGCACGGGATGTTGATGGGCTAACCCATTTCCTGACATACGCTGACAATAATGCTGTTGGCTATTTTATTAAACAGGTCTTGTTATCTATCATTCGTGTAATCACCTTTTAGGTTTTCTATTGATTGTTTCTGCATAAACTAGTGGTGCCATAATTCTGTTGCTTTGGAAATTTTGTTTCGACATCTCAGTGTCAGCTTTTGGCATAGTTTTCTCAACTCTCCTTTGAATGTCATTTCTTTTTCTTGCTTCTGAGTTATGGAGTGGATCTGGTGAAGAAACTGCACTAAATCTTTATTTGTTTGTAGGGTTTTACAAAAGAGATTCACTTGGAGAAAGACCGATGGCATGGGTATGATATGCACACAACTCTAGTTATACGAAGACTGTTAAATTTTGATTTCAGAAGATCTAGGTTTCTTATTGTGCTTCGTAAGCGTCAAGTGGTTAGCCTTGAAAAGAAATGAGCGAAGCTTTGATACAATTGCTGCTTTCGTTTCTGTACTTTTAATTACCATAATCAAGTACAACTGTGAGTAGACTTACCGCCCAAAGTAGAGGCAAGATAAGACATACAAATGAACTTATGAGCTGGTGGTCCTTCACCAGAAATAGGATGTGTAGCCAGATTTAGGTATCTTACTTCTTGTGAAAACCTTTTTTCATGTCAGCATTTTATTATTGTGTGCAGCTATATAAAAGATTACGATGGAGGAATCCTAATGGAATGCAGAATTGACCCAAAGCTACCATACACCGACTTATCAACTATGATTCGTTGTCAGAGGCAGGTAAGGGTCAACTCAATAGCTTGTAGATTTTCATAATTAAATCTAACAATGGATCATGATAGATGCCAAAGCATGTATAGAGTATCGAACCAAGGTGGATTCACTACAATCTAGACTATCTGGTTTTTTTGGTTTTGTGGTAGGCGATCGACGAGAAGATAAGAGAGCTCTCAAATTGTCACATTGTTTATCCTGGCATTGATTTTCAAAAGGTAACATAATACTGTCCTGATATAAATTCCCAGATCTCTATAATATTTCTAGTGTTTTCTTTAAACTTCTGTTAACCACTAATGAGTAGAGTACTTACTAGACACAAGCCTGTGACAATCTGGTGTCATGGCACATTTTTTAAATTCTTGTATGGTTCCTTTTTTTTTGGGTCCTCTTGACTGTTATTATCAGTTAATGTATGAATCTCTAAAACTTAGTTTGACCATGTATTTATTTATCCAGAAAGAAGCTGGTGTTCCTAAAAAAATCATTAAGGTTGAGGACATCCCTGGCTTGAGTAAGTTCTTTAACTTCGCTGGTTATTTTACTCTCTTAATCAGTCATTTATGCTATGATAAATTTAATGTCAATTTTACCTTTGTGTTAAGTTGTGTTGGGGAAGTTGAATTGGTAATCAGAAGTTTAATGAACATTTTGGTAACAGGGGAGGCTGGGTGGACCCCTGATCAATGGGGCCATTCGCGGTTTGGAGCTTTGTCGGCTTCCACAGACAGTGGCAGAAAGCATTTGACTGCATTCATGCGAGTACTTCTAAAGGTGAGTTGCTTAAGCATATCTTTGTCAAGTTGTCTTTCGTTTTTCATCGTGGAGAAAGTTAGCTTGCTTGATCTTTTTGCATTAATTCATATTGACTCAATCATGTGTTGCAACTTTGTATTAAGTTATTAACATGTTGCTGGAACCTAAGGGCTGCAGAAAAGTCAGTTTCTTGAATGTTCCCGGTGGTTGCATGCCAATGCCCATCAGAGTTGTTGCAGTGATGTTTGCACTTGCATGCGCTTTGATCTAAGAAATGAATCAGATCTTTCCTTGTCTTCGAATTAAGTATATGAAAGTCTCCACAAAGCATGAGGGACTACTGAGAGACAATTCTGCAATAGAGTACCATCTTAGTCTCCCAAAGCAAAGTACCTTTACAGGGGTAGTAAGCAATAATAAGAGTTTGTATGCGATATGCGGAATATAACACAAGATAAGCTGCCATTTGTGGTTTATTGATCATTTTCCCCAGTATGAGCAGAAGACACATAGGAATCTTAGTTATATGATCGAGTTTTGTGACTTCCTCTTGCTGTCAGCTTAAAATGGATTCTCACCAAATACATTTTCATTTAAGCAGTGTATGCATGACCATGTTGATGCCTGGCCATTCAAGGAACCAGTTGATGCACGTGATGTTCCTGATTATTATGACATCATCAAAGATCCCATGGGTAAGGACTATTTCTCAGCGAACTACATAGTTTAAATATCTTCTGTATTTAGTGTCTGGAATTCTTCCAAGTGTTTTCACAGAAGCCGCATTTTGAATATTGCTTTCTGATAATGTAGTTTGGATACTAGCTTGATCATAATCTGTGCTTTGCCGTTAGCATCTTGAGTTGTAAAATTGTCACGACTTCTTAAATTTATTTGAAAAGCCGGCATGCTCTTTAGATATCTGGTCAGAGGTCGGCATGACATGTGGCATCTCTTATTTCTTGCCATTGTTTTCTGGCTTTCGTTTCTTCCTAACTGTGGAAATTACTAATAAGTATGCTTACCTCTTATCAGCCTTGGGTTTTGGCATAGGTGTTTGTATTTGTGCATATTGCATTAAATTTACAACGCTTTAACGGATATTTAATATAATGCAGATCTGAAGACTATGTTGAAGAGGGTAGAGTCGGAACAGTATTACGTAACGTTTGAGATGTTTGTTGCGGATGCCAAGAGGATGTTTGCAAATGCACGCACTTACAACTCCCCCGATACCATTTACTATAAATGTTCAACCAGGTAATGCTGTTGGCATCCCTTTGTCGCTATTTTCATTGTTTTCTACGTTGGTTCTGAAGATGTCAATCGTTTCCATGCAGGCTGGAAGCCCATTTTCAAAGCAAAGTTCAATCAGGACTCCAAGCTGGTGCCAAAATCCAGCAGTGAATTAGATGAATGTACATACCGGTTTCATTACGTTCAGCTGCCTGGCCCCATGGCAATGCTTTATGTTGTATTTTTAGTTTTTATTTAATTTTTTCAAAATTTGTATGCACTTACCATCATGGAGTCATGTTCTCTGCTGGCTTTTCCTCTTTCTGCCTTCTTGTTACAATTCAGACTTTTATTGAAATCCAAATGGTTTTATATCAGACTTGTACGCCCGACCCCAAATGGAAAAGAAACTATGAACCTGATGCATTACATTTCTTTGTTATTTTGAGCTCTGTCAATGCTCAGTTTGGAGACACAAAAGACTATGAAGAAGGAAACCACTCCCCACGTCCTATAACTCAACACTCTGTACTTTTCTTTATTAAGGTGGATGGTGCAGATGACTCTCGTATATGTTCCCGCCCATGGGGAAGAAATTATAAAAAGAATTAAGAAAGAAATCGATCATTTAGCGAAATCTAAAACAGAAACAAAGATGAAATACAAAAAGTTCGAGTTAAAATACACTAGTAAAGGTGAACATCAATTCAACCAACCTTCTATCCCCATCTGTAAAATAGGATGGGATAAAAAAGTCACTACACTCAGCTCTGTTTCTTGTTCTTTGGGGCAGCATGGGAAAGCTGAGGATCCCAACCCGGCAATGGTTCACGTGGACCCACTCCTGGCCGAAGCTGCTGCTGCTGCTGCGGTTGCTGCTGCATGTGATCTACACTAGCTGTGTGCTGAATTGAAGAGATTTCAGCCATGTTGCTTCCGGTGACGGTAGGCTGGCCAACATTACTCTGTGGGTTCCTGACTAGAGAAATTGGGGGGTCTCGGGGAAAGCCAGTGTCCAATCTCTGGTGAGGTAGAGTGGAAGTGGCCAAATTAGGAACTACTGGATGAAAGAGCTGGTTGGAGTTCGGTTGCATTGGCACAGCAGCATTTGTAGATCCATCCATGGGGTTCACTGATGGTATGCTTACGCTCGGTAAATTAGACATGGCCAGAAGTAGCGGGTTGATTCCTGTCACTCTCTTAACGGAGTCCTCTGCCATTTTCACCTGAATTTTTTTACAATAAATATCCGTAAGAGAATTGAATTGAAAGCATACAGAGTACTCTGACCAGGTAAAAATATGCAAACTATAAAATTTGAAAATTCAGAATGTCTTAGTGGCTAACCTTTGCTCTTAGCGTCTCAATATCAGCTCTTAATATTCTGTTGTCAACAGCAGCATTATCATATTTCTGATTCACGTCTGTGAGACGTTTTAACAATGTAGAGTGTTCAACCCTCAGTTGACCAACCTAAATGAAACCAAACATATAACTCCATAATGTTCTCTACTTTAAAAAAAAAAGATTATTGGAAATATCAAGAAGAGATGAAGATTGTTTTTGCTAATTAAAATTTTAAAACAAGGAGCACCACCTGTGTCTCAAGTTCACTCATTTGTGCTTGTTTTCTCCTTCTAGAACGTCTAGCTGACTCTCGATTTGACAGCATCCTGAGTACCATCAACATGTTAATCCATAAAGGGCTTAGTTTTTAGATTTTACCAATATGGTATTAAGTTGCATATGGACAGTATCTGTTGAATTCCTGATATGAGAGATGACAACGTTTTACAACAAACCTGTTGTCAAACAAATTCATCAGGTGAAAAATCATGCAAAATGCAACATTTCCCTCCTTCCAAATCAGATCATTGCTTTCAAAAATCACTGATTCCGAAGCAGACAGGTCCTTGCTCTAAATTCTCTACTGGAAGAAAAAACTAATTTTTGTTTGGACAACCAAAAGTTTCTTCTCGTCTTTCATCCATAGTATACAGGGCACATATTAACCATCATCAAGGCATTCAATGTGTTGAAACCTTCATACATCGATTACTGTACGGAAAATATAACTCAAGCCGATTAAGCCTAAATGCCAACTATTACTTAGAGACCAACCAAAAAGAACCAACATCATACCAAGAGATGAAACAAAACTGCCTAATAGTTGGAAAAGTAGGCATGAAATGGGTTACCTCCTAGCACGTTTCACATCTGAAGGATCCATATTCTCATTAATTTCAATGTCTCCTTCGAGATCATCATCATCTGAGTCCTCTTTCGATGATCCGCTTGTTGTCTGCTTACTCTGCAACCCCGTTATTTTCTGAACAGCAGGTAAAGCCGGAATGCCAAGTGGGCCAGTGTCAGCTTCATTTTGTTGCACTGGGAAACCATGACCAGCATCTAGCATAGCTCAAATCAAATGGGTTTTCGTATGTTAAACATAATCATCACTAACATATCTGATCAGAAGATGCTATGATAAAATTTCCCAACTTTAATTTATACACAAAGAAATGACGACAAGTGCAACACCTAAAATCATTAAAATTGAGAAAAATGTATTATGTAAAATAAGCAGACAAGTCAAGCACAAACCTTTATCAAGCGATTGACTGTGGGCCAATTGTGAAGGCTTCGACAGCAGCGATTGACTCTCGGCGGCCATGTTACCCAAATCCACAGGCTTCAAAGATGACGCCTGCCATCACATTCATCAATAAAAGAATTTGAAAAAAAATTACAAAAATTTAAATACAAAATGTAAAATTAATGAGAGAGATGTACGCGAGAGAGAGCGACGGCAGCGCAAGCCAGATCGAGCTGGTTCTTAAGAAATTCACGGTACTGATCCGAATTAACCTGAACCGTTGACGTCGGATCCAACGGCGGAGGAGGGGGATGATTAGGCTGCTGCTGAGGTTGATGATGATTATGATGATCGGGCTTCTTGATCTCAACTACCTCTTCATCTCCATCTTCGCGCTTCGACGTTGACGACTGAGACGCAACAGAACAAGAAGCGACCGACGAAGCGGTCAATTGATCAGGGACGGCAACTGATCGCCGAGGAGTGGCCGCTGGGGTCGAGAACTCGTCGAGAAACTGCTCGAAGGCCCACTCCGACGCGCTCCTATTCATCGCCGGAGACGACAACGCCCAAGCCGTATCGGAGACGTCGTCCACGGAGAACACTGAATGCATACTCCCTCGAGCTTCCGTGCGCGCGTGCGTGTCCGAAATATCCGATTTTTGTTTCTCTCTCTTTGGATTTCGTTTTTATATATCGGAATCGGAGTTCGGACAACTGGAGCTATACTCTGGTGCTTTACGTAACATGGTAATATTTATACACGGGCCGTCTATTTTGGCGGGATGCGTTGACAAGTATACATTTGACACGCGTCGTGTGACAGGTGAAGGGTTTTGTGGTCCGTGTAGTAGGGGAATATAAGTGCGGCCCGCTTTTGGTTGTGGAGAAAGGAGAGAAACCTACGGGTTCAGAGAAGCAATGAAGGACAAATATGAAATATGTAAGTTAGGTGGGACCCCTAAAAAGTTGAAAAGATTTTGTAGATACAATTCAATTATTGTACAGTATACGATTTTTTTTTTTTTTTTGGTAACACAGTATACGTTTTTTTAAGTGTAGGGAATTCAAATACATCAACGTAACAAGTATTTATTTATATATAGTTTAGATTTGATTTAAGTATATTAATCTCGATGCCAATGGGGTATAACCCATTAGAAAATGACATTGATTTGCAAACTAGTAGTTTCAAATTTGAACCCGATGACACCTTGATTGTGTGTGTAAGAAGCCTTTCTCCAAGTTTAAACTTCAAAAGAGAAGTATCATTAGATACAAAGCTAAACAGCTAAACCTTTTACGTGGCAGTTGCTTTTGGATTTAGATTCTCAACTTCGTCTATTTTGACATTAGGATACAATTGTTGGATATTAACAAACTGATCAGGAGCAGCTCCTGATTCTACAACCAATGCATGGCAATTTATCATGTATAATTTGTCTGATGTACTCACTGGAAATATAAAAGTTGATCTAACCCTTGCATCTTCTTTTATTTTCGACAAAGTTTTTTGCAAATTACAACTGCAGCTTTATACATCATTCGGGCATATAATGCCTTGAAGAAGTCAGCTTTCGCAGTAAAGATGACTAATTTGTGGTCCAAAAGCCCAAAAAAAAAAAATCAAAATCTCAGAGAATGTGATCACAGGAGTGCAGATTTTAGAGACTTGGTGAAAATTGCTAGTTCCTTCAACCCTTCCTCGGGAGTTTTGGCTTCACCCAACAGTTTCACGATTGCACTGCCAACAATGACACCGTCAGCTCCCCATCCTGCTACCTGTACAACACTCATGACTCAGAATCTTGACTGAGGTAGAAGATTAACAATAATAGGCATTCTGGGTTTCTTTTGGTTAAAAGGAGTCCAAAGTCTATGAAGGGAGAGGACCGAATCGAACTTTCGCAGTGAGGGTAAAGTAATCTACCGTGGGTGTGGGTGTGGGTGTGGGTGTGGGTGTGGCGTGGGACATTGTGAGTTTAACATACTAACCTGTTTCGCCTGTTCGGGCTTTGAGATGCCAAAACCAACTGCCACAGGCTTTGACGTTGCCTGTCACATATAAGGTATGCATGATTACGAGAGACAAAAATATTAAGTTGAAGGGATCATATCAAATGTACAATGTTCTTTTACTTTTTAGCTACTCTAGTAAGGCAGCTCAAATGTTCAAGATGAGAGGTTGATTAGTCTAGTAAGGGATCATATCTCTCCATTTTGTATCAAAGCCTTAAAACTTAACAGGCATTTAGATCAAATTTAGCATCAAGATAATATAAGGTCCTGATCCAGCATGAATGCTTGTAAGCAAATGCAAATCCATCAATCGACATGCTAGTCATGATGTCATATTGCACATAAGGCTTGCATTATTATCCATCAGAAGTGGTAATAGAATTCTGAAAAATTCCACTGTTAGAACTGATTAGAAAGACAAACCTCTTTAATTTCCTTCAAAAGAGAAGGAACTCGTTCATTCACAGATGCACGGGCACCGGTAACTCCGATCGAGCTCACCTATAATTCATCTTAAGACGTCAAGATACAGATGAATTTTTTCCATAAAATAATAAAATGTTCATGTAGCAAACACAACTTGTCAATATTTTATTGGTAGGCGTTTTAGCTTTACACAACAAGACCAAAAAAGCAACAACAAAAAAAACAGAGAGAGAGAGACTTCAAGAACCACATTAGCATCCACTTTCCTGACACTGATAATAGCAAGTATGTATCCAATAACTTCATTTTCTAATTATAAGCTAAATGATGATTCCAGAAATTGGACAACCCACAACAGATTTTTGAATCTAATTAAACATAAAATACGAAGGATATATATTATTACGGGACAAAACCTTATAACTTTAAACCAAAAAAGAATACAAAAGGAATCTTTTATAACTTTAAACCAAAAAATAATACAAAAGGAATCTTACCAGGTACAAAAATCCTTCTGAAGCTTCAGCAATGGCCCTCATCCGATCAATTGGCGTAGTGGGCGTAGTTAGTAATACCTGGAAATCACACCAGCAGATGAGATGTATTACAGTCACATCCAAAAGTAACATAAAATAATTTGAAATACTCTCACAACAAAAAGAATAAAGGGAAAGAAAATTAAGAAACAAACCAATTCAATATTATGTTTCACAGCTTCCTTTCTCAAAATTTCTGTCTCTTCCAATGGAACATCTGGAACCACAAGCCCTACAAACAAATGTGGAATTAGGAATCTAGTCAAATCTCTTATATATATAAACAAAGGGGTTCACAACTGAGAAAGAGAACTAAAATACCAATGCTTCAATCAAGTACGCAAAAAAAGGTCTAAAAAGGTCTGTGTAAAAAGATTTATATGACCATTAACAGAATCCACATCTCAATAGAAGGCAAAGGTGCAGTTCAGTCAGTGAAAAATACTATCATATTGAAAATTTTAAAAGATTCAGTAACAAGTACTTATACATTACCATGTACACCAACGTCTCTAATGGTGGACATGAATTCTCCAATTCCACGCTTCAATATTGGGTTATAGTATGTAAAGAGAGCAATTGGGCAAGACAATTGTGGAATCACCTGTCCATTGAACAAGACTGACATAATGAGATTATTTCGATGAACGCTTGATGTGAATATGCTACTGTCTTGATATGATTTCTTATTCCTACATCTCATATTACCATATGAAAATACTTTAGATGCTTATAATCGGCATAGTTCATATGTGACAGCAACCAAAGTGGATAGTAGACACAGTGATAGTAATATATCTAACATAATTTTCACTTGGGAATACAACACCAAAAAATATCAATCAAGTTAACATAACATTGCATATATAAACATACCTCCTTCAACATTGTAACAATTGAATTCAGATTGGTCCCTTTTGCCAAGGAACGGGTGGTTGCAGCCTAAGCAATAGCACACAAGGGGATAAGAACACAGGAACCTATGGAATATAGATTGCCAAAAAGAATATGCAGAAGTATAAAAATGCAGATGAAAATCACTATTGTACCTGTATAACTGGACCATCTGCTAATGGATCAGAATATGGCACACCTAATTCGATTATGTCTGAACCACAAGAATCAAGTACCTTCAATGCTTCTGCCGTGATTGAAAGATCGGGATCACCAGCAGTGATGTAAGGAATCAATGCAACCTTAACAGAAAGACATACTCATTAAAACAACAAAATCAGATAAATTAGCCATCTAGTCTAGAATCAACCACAAATCCAAATCCTAAAATGAAATACAGTTCATCTAAAGGACTACCACAAAAACAACTTCACTATTGGCAATGATTTATCATTTCTATCTGATCATTTTTCTCCTACTATTTCAATCAAAGTCACAGTCATGTGTAGGGTGGATTGTGCTACTTCAGTTTCAACCAAACTTAGTCAGATCTAGTAAACATGCAGAGCTTTTTTGTCAAAACGAAAGCAATCTCAAGAACAATAACTAAACAAAAGGTCTCATCAACCAGCATCTCTTCCCCGGCCCTATTTGGAAATGAAAGTTGTGCATTTTGACGGTGATTGAAACCCAACTGGTAGTGAGCAAAAAAGTAGCAGACTTTAGACTATACAATTCCTTGACGGACCATCCTGGTTTTCACGGAGCACAGAAAGCCATAAAATTTGGAGGGTCTGCAAATTTTTCTACAGGGCTTCAAATGAAAGAACAAACATGCAGAACAGGCGCGCCAAAGTTTAAAACTTTCTACACTGTAATTCGAAAGTTCCTAAAGCAGATATCGAAATTGCTTACCTTGCCTTGCTCCTTCAACTTTGTGAAGGTTTGGGAGAGACCGACGGCTGGGGTGGTGGTGAGAGCAGCCATTGGAGTAAATTTCTTGAGTGAAAGTGTGGATGCTTGAGATGGAGAGCGAAGAAGCAATGGGTTTTGAGGCTTCTTCAGTTGCAGAAAACCAGCTGCAGGTTTAAGAGAAGAAGCAGCCATTAGGTTGAGTATATTTCAGTAGGCCCAGTGAGGCTTTTGTAGGGTTTTTTCTTCCAGTTGGCCTTCTTCTGTGTTTGTACACTTGGACTCTCACTTCTCAACTCACCATCATTCTCTCCTCCTTATCTTATATATTGTCTCGGCCGTTGAATTCCGCGCAGATTTTCCTTTTTTATCTTTTTTTTTTCTTCTTCTTTTATGTATTCTTGGCCAAAATTTTGGCACAAGTTAATTTGAAGTTTTCTTTTTGGAGATGACACATTTTGTGCAAGTAAATTTCTTGAAGAGGGAAGTGGGTCAAGTTGTTAGGTATACCTAATACTTTTCCTTCTAAATTCTTAAGTTTCCAATTTCACAGGTTAGCATTATATAATTTGGAAAAAGCTAATAACTTGTGAATTCTGCCTATACAACAATTTATTTTTAGAACGTTACATTTTTTTTCTTTGGGGATTCATGAACTTTTTCATTCTATTAGAGGTAATAACCCCTTTCATCACTCTCACACATCCATGTTAATTAGGAATGAGATTTAAAGTTAGGATATTTTTCTAAGTTGGGAAGAGAAACGCAACTTAGAATATCTTCTTAAGTTGAGAGCAGATAGTTGGTAAAATTACACTTTCAAAAATTATTTGTACTAAAATTTCCCTCAACAAAATAGTTAATATTTTGAGGCTCATTAGTAATTTCCCGTATTAATTTCAGGCAATTCTTTTTTCGGACAAGCGATATTAGAGGAAAGGGGAATGAAACACTAGACTTCGATGCAAAGTAAAGGTGTTAGACGGACCAGGGCGGTTAGATACGGCACGAGCACGGCCCACTTAAGTAAGGCCTGACACGGCATGGTCCATATCTTTTAGCCGTGCAGAGACAAGGTAATTAGGCACAATGGGTAGGGCCAGTCTGTGGCCAGTTGCCGGCCTGCTGTTTAAAGCCCATTTATTAAATTATATTTATTTTAGAAAAAAATAATACACAATATTATACATTTATATCTTAAATTCAAGTTTATTTCTTTTCTCTAATAATATGTATTAAAATTTAATGTTTTCTTTATATATAAAATAATGATTTTATTTTTCAAGTTTCAATTTTTAAAATTCAAACAATAATGTAGTCATTTTCTATTTAAATGTACTTTAAAGAGAGTTATCGCCTACTTTTTTCAACAAATAATAAATCTTGTTAGTATATACATAATTGTAAAATATAATAAATGAAGTTGTAAAATAAAATATATAAAAAAATGCAATACATAAGTCAAATTTGACGTGGCCCATTTCGGCCTGTTTAGTGGCCCGATACGAGCTCGGGCTAGGATTGATGATTTTCATAAGTAAACGCCCGAGATGACATGTTTATTAAATGAGCCGTTTGACATCTCTGGTGCAAAGGTAGTTTTTTATGAGAATTCTTTTGATATTTGGTCCAAAAGTTTATAAGATATGGGCCTTCATGTCATGATAATGGGCCTTAACTGTTGGGCGGCAAAGTTGTTGCCCGCCAAGGACAAAACCCTCAACAGTTAATTAAACATAAATTATTACAGTGGCATAGACTTGTAAATTGGAGGAAATGCAGCCCCTTTTACTAAAAAGAAAACATTTTTAACCAGATAAAGCCACCTTCACTTTTCGTCCCTCTTTGTCTCTTCGCTCTCAGAGAGTACTGCTGAGGTTGAAGAAAGAAGAAAGCGTATAGGAAAGAGCAAAGCAAACTTCAAAGCTCAACGCTTTATCTATCCCTCTTTCTTCTTCATGTAGATGCTCTTTGAAAACCCTAACTCGCTCTCCTACCCGACTCAGCTCGACTTGGTCTGTTATTCTCACTCCCCATGGCCAACAACCCCTCTGAAGCCCCGGCTGACGATTTCCTCGAGCAAATTCTTGGCCTGCCCAACTTTGCTTCGGCAGATGCTAATTTGGCTGGAAACGACGGAGGCTTGACCGGGGCTCAGGTGTCTCCGTCTCCGATGATGCTTCAGCTAAATTCCGGCGATGGCTCCGGCCATATCGCCGCCGTCGGCGTCGGTGGTGGGTACCGTGGACCGGTGTTCCCGTTAGGGTTGAGCCTGGAGCAGGGAAAGGCTGGATTTTTGAAACCCGAGGAGGCTTCAGGGAGTGGGAAGCGGTTTCGAGACGACATGGTTGATAGTAGAGGTTCATCTGTGAAAAATGTAAGATTTTCGGCCTATAAAAAAGCTTTTTAATTAGGTGGTGTTATTTGGTTGGCTCGAAATTTTGACACTTATTTTAGTGATTGAATTATAATAAAATGGATTTTCAGATGTTTTGGTGATATGAGTTTGGAGTGTGTAATTGAATATTAGCTGGATGATTGCGTGGTCTTAAGTTGAGTAAAGGAGCTACTGGGGATAAGTTTGTGAATTTGGTTTTTTTTGTTTGCTTAATAAGCAACTAGACAAACGAAAGGAAACAAGGACAATCGGAAACTTATAAGAGGTTGGTTTTTCATTAATTGGGTGAGATTCAAGTACTCCTATCTGACAAGAAGTAAAATACAAGATGACACTTCATTTATTTTGGGTCAAATACAGGAGGACACTTCTCGGTTACTTGAGAAATGGGAATTAAATGGCTGGCCAGAATCGAACAAAAAACTTACAAATTTGAGTCATGAAAAGCAGTCTGAAGTCAGGGTAAACGGAAGCATGTGAAAAGTGATGGGTGTGCATGTGATTCTAGAGAAAAAGTATCAGAAAACATGACATCTATTATTTTTAATTTTAATTGTTACAAACGAAGAATAAAATTTATGGTTTCCTTGTAATATATAGGACCATATAAACAATATTTTGTAACTACACTTCAACATGTTAACAACTGGTGTTGATAGTTTTATATTGATAGCACATATACATATACATATATGGAAGTATGCATGTGTATGTGGGTGTATCAGTGTAAGTATATATTTCTGTATATGGGTATATATATGTATATGTATGTATGTGTGTATGTAAATATATGTAGGTGTATATGCGTAGCTATGGGAATTCAGAACTTCGGCAGGTTGTCATATTTTCATGTAATATCTGAATTTTAAAGAGTTGGACATCTATTGATCCACCAAAATGGTTGATGTACTTGCACCTTTTGGGTTTTCCGCTACAGTGCATTGTTGAGAAACTAGCTCAACTTCTCTCTCATTAAAACCACCCCTAGTAATAGAAATTGTGTCATTTCGCAGGTTTTCCATGGTCAACCAATTTCCAATTCAGTTGCTGCAGCACCACATCCACCGGCTATGCGACCAAGGGTGCGGGCTAGAAGAGGACAAGCCACAGATCCACACAGCATCGCTGAGCGGGTAAGTTTGCTATCATTTACACAAAAGAACATCCCATGGAATTCTTATGAAAACATAAACTAGATTGTGATCATGATAAAACCTTTTCTCAGGGCTGCACTGGAGCCATATTTCATTTTAAAATTTGACCTTTTTTATTTATTTTTCTTTCCTTCTCCTTTATGGCTATTGTATGCTTAATGTACAACTTTTCTGTACAGTTGCGCCGAGAAAGAATAGCAGAAAGAATCAGGGCATTGCAGGAACTAGTTCCTAGCGTCAACAAGGTCAGCGGCACTCCTTTCAAGTCATGTTTTGTATTTTCTTTCACTAGAAACATTTTGTTGTATGTGTATATGTATGAGGCGGAGGATAGCTTCCCTTGTTCTTCAAATTGATATAAGTTGTTTAGAAGATGAGTAAGTAAAAAAAATTTAATTTGAAACCAATTTTAGAACATATTAGAAATCATTTGAGGGAACAACTTCTTTGTGACCCTGTTATGTTTGGCTTTCAAACAAGGGACTTGATTGGCTGGAGCATTGTGATCATTTCATAATAAATCTAACTTAGATGTGGTGAAATACTGGTGGTCTTGTTTAGAAAGTTCACAATAAATCTTGCTTAATTGCCTAAAATTTGGGTTTGGGATTGGACGGTGCTATATTCGTAAGATAAAGTTTAGGAGTTGAACAGAGCTCGATTCTATTTCCATACAAGGGATTTCTTGTGACTTTTTAAGTGATAACGTACAATTCATGGTACCATGGCATTCCAAAGCTGGTAAGGTGACAAAATGTTCTAGAAAAATAATTGTAATGCTCGTGCTTTATGGATGATTTGCATAGTGTTGCATTTTCTTGAGACGTCATCAACTGTATTCGATGTACTTCTGTTTTGTGCAGACGGATAGAGCTGCCATGCTTGATGAAATCATGGATTACGTGAAGTTCCTAAGGCTCCAAGTGAAGGTAGAGTTATTTAAGGTTCAATGCACATTATCTTATTGCATAAATAATAGGATTCCTATCACTCATTTCTCCCATAATTTTCAGTTGCTTTACATTCAATATATACTGAAACTATGCTATACTTAAAAGGTCATTAATTTTTAGACCAATGCTTATTCCATAGGGGAAGTTTCTCTTTTCGAGAGTTGGTTTGGATGCCCTATTGTTCCTATAATTTGGGTGTTGTTTTGGTAAGATTTTGTGTCAAATCAAATTATTCTCGTTCATTTAACAACATAGCAATAGGGTAAATTTTGCTTTCCATTTACTTTTTACTGTTTGACCAATTACTTAGGACCAAAACATGTCGCTATTCTGATTTGTTAGGCGTGCGGGGATAGAGTGGAGTTGGTCTTCTTATAATGATGAAGAAAGTGGAGGTTTTTGTTCTTTCTTAATATGCTTAAGTCATCTACTTTACAGGTTTTGAGCATGAGTAGATTGGGAGGAGCTGGTGCTGTAGCACCACTTGTAACGGACATTCCACTATCTTCAGTTGAGGTAATAAATTAAAGTATTTTATATTTGCTCGGTTTTCTGTTTATTTCCGTTTCCTTATAAACAACCACGCTTCTGTTCTAATGACAGGAAGAAGGTGGCGAAGGTGGTAGAAACCAACCAGCATGGGATAAGTGGTCAAACGATGGCACAGAACGGCAAGTAGCTAAGCTTATGGAAGAAAATGTTGGGGCAGCAATGCAGTTCCTTCAATCAAAGGCTCTTTGCATCATGCCTATCTCACTGGCCTCAGCAATTTACCACACACAACCACCAGACACATCTAGTGTTGTGAAGCCTGAAATGAACCCTCCTTCATAAGAGACCTCAGAAAAAGAGTAGGTATGCATTCCCATGGTCCCACCGAAAAACTCACTAGATGCTCGTGGGTCCCATGCCTTATTTGTCGTTTTCCAATCCCCCGTAGCTTTAGTTGTTTCCTCAGCTTCAAATTGCATTCAAAGTCAGATGCCATAGTTGTTGCTTTTTGCCTTTTCTTTCAACTTTTGTCAAAACAGGGATCGATGTCAATGCCCTAAAAAAATACTAGCAGGCCCCTTCATGTCTTGCCAGGTTCAAGTAAAGGAGAAGAATTGTCAAAGCTCACTTGATATGCTCTTCTTTTTTTGTATCAATGGTGGGGGTAGTGGAAAATGATGGAAGCCCTTTTCTAGTGGGGCTCTCATTGTTGCTCAGTGGGCTGTGGGGCCTACTTTCGCAAAGGATTAGAGGAGTATATATAAATATTATATTTTTTTCAATGTATGTTAGAGGAATGTAATATAGAGGTGGGATAATATGAATGCATAATTGTTGCTAGTTTGAAAAATGCTGGGTGTTCCAACTCCTGCAGAAATTGACAATGCTACTCTTTTGGGTTTAGGGTTTCAAAAAAGTAAACTAAGACTTATTTTTCAATTCCCCCGAATCATTATTGGAGGTTAAATCATCGAGAAAGAGCGAGAGAGCATTGAGAGTTATTTTTGGTGGCCCAAATTCATTTTTCAAAAGTAAACGCCATTGGACCTTTTCATCTATTCCAACTATGGTTTAAAATATCGATGGTTTTGGAAATATTGGTAGTTCAAAAATACAAAAATTTTGATGGAAATATTGGGATATTATCGATATCGATAAAAATTGCATATAAACAACGGAAATTGTAAGAAAAACTTGGAAATTTTTCTTGAAACTTTAGAAGATGTTTATTTAGTACCACATGAGTTTCTATAAGGTTCAAATTTGAGTTATTTACTCCAACACCTCCTGAGGTTTTCGGCTTTTTCACAAAACTTCTTGGGATTTTAGAAATTACAAGAACACCCACCTCATGTTTTAAATTGTTTTAAAAAAAACTCTTTTTCATTGATTTTTCATCCAAAGATTGATGATTTTATACAAAAAGGTCTCCAAATGAAAAAGTTGGCCTTTGAGATTAGATTGCATATACTTCATTGACGTTAATTTTGTCATTTGCATAAGTTTTTTCTATAAATGAAATCATCAATTTTTGGACAAACTATCAACTAAAAGGGGTTTGTAAAAATAAACTGAAACCTCATGAGGTGTTCATATAATTTTTGAAACTCGAGAAGGTTTTGTGAAAACACAAGAAACCTCAGGGAGTATTAGTGTAAATAACTCTTCAAAATTTTCATTGTCTTCATTATCTCAATATTATTGATATTATAGCGATATTTTGACTAATTGTTGGCCAAATGTTGCTAGAGTGTGAGAGAAATTATCGACATCGATATTTTTTGATATTATTGATATTTATATGATAAGTGTGTGGATACGTTCCAAAATATCCTTAACTTGATAAAACAGTAATATCCTCGATATTATCAATATTTTAGACTATAATTCTAACTACAAGGAAGCAAGATGGTACGGATTGAAAACATCAACAACCAAATGTTGAATGCAACAGGTTCAAGGTTGTGGAAATTCCTATATTTCTAGCACATCCTGCTTCCCAATTCCACGGAAACATCTTCTCTTCTGAAACTAGCGAATGGAGAGTCTCGAATACGGTTGTAACTTGTATCCATTGGAAAATTAAAACCTTGCATAATAGTTCAAATTATTTTTGAGTCTCTCTGCAAATTCAATTGATTTTAAGTTAAATACTCACATTTTAACAACTTCATATCGATCCACATGTGAGTTAGGCCAATTGATCATAGCAGAACTTCATGCCGATGCATTAACTTTGATTGTATGAGTGACCCGTTTGTTGTGTATACTGGGGCTTGTACGTAGCATAGTGGGTTTCTTAATTGGGTTCGATCTGCTCATGAAATCTGATGGGCCTTAAGAGGACTTTTGGAAAATTGAAGTGGGGATGCTTGGGCCTTTTGGGACGTGTTGAACCCAAGATGATATATGGGTTCCGCCATGGGAATGTGGCCCAAACCCTGTGAAAATTTTTGTTTTTGTTATTTTACTTTTCTTTGGGTCTGTCTGAGAACCCTCCTTCTTGGAGAATTAAGATAAGCGTAGTGTTATAGTAGCATTATCCGACAACGGCGGAGTTTGGCACCTTCACCTGAAAACCCGATAGCAATGGCGTTAGAGAGAGCACTGCCAGCAGCAACAAGCACAACCTTCCTCACAAACCCCAAAGTTCCCTCCTTTTTCCCAACCACAACCTCCAACCACAACCACAGCCACTTAGCCTTCGCACGGCGCCGTTTCAATATCAAATGCTCGATGGATTACAGTAGAGACCAGTACAACAACAATGGCAGCAGCAGCATTCAAGTGCCCATAGCGTTTCCCAGACCCCCTGAGGTTCAGTGGAAGAAGGAGCTGTGCAATACGGTGCACCTCATCGGCGTCGTCGGTCTTCCCATTGAAATTAAGCACCTTCCCTCTGGAAAGGTCGTCGCTTGGACCCGCCTCGCCGTCAAGAAATCATCTTCCGACACCTCATGGTATTATTTTCTTCACTATTTGGTTTAATCATGATTTGCAATTGATGATGCTCATTGAATTATTGGGTTTTGAATTTTATAACTACTGTGTAGGAATTTTGTTCAAATCCTTTCAATTAGTGTGTTGTGGTTATGCTTATTAAATTCAAGTGGGAAATTCAAATTTTTTATGTTTGTATCGCATCACAATGTTTTTCTGTTAATTATGAGAGGTGGGTTTTTTTTTCTTTTTCCAGGATCAATTTGACATTTTGGGATGAGATGGCGCATGTTGCTTTCCAGCATGTAGAGAAAGGCAATCAAATATATGTCATTGGTCGTCTGATTACAGATTCTGTTGAAACCAATGAAGGGAAGCAGCAGACTTACTATAAGGTTCTTTGGCTTTGTGGTCTTTTCTATTTGTTATTTTTAGTTTTATTCTTCTAGTTTGTTTGTGTTTTATTTTAGTAATGATTTGTTTTTTCTTAATTGTTATTCTGCAGGTAGTTGTTCAGCAACTGAATTTTGTTGAGAAGGGCTTTTCATCATTGGTCTTGAATGATCATGACTCTGATTCAATATCAGCAGGCAAGTCATATCTTCAGTAATTTTTTAGGTCTTGATAAGATCAGGGGCGGCGCTCTTTCTCATTGTTAATCTTTTTTCTTGCAGTTAGAAATACTGGCAACGGTGCTGCAAAGAACAGTACAGAAACCACACAAGAATTGTGGCAAGCCTTTTTTGCTAATCCAGTGGACTGGTGGGATAATAGGAAGACCAAGGTACTTCATGCAATCACTATAAAAAGTTGCATCGAATATCTTTTCTTGTTGTTTTTGTATGGCATAAAAATGTTTGAGCAGAGGTGCTTGTGTGTGTGCACACGTGCAAAAACACTGTTGGGAAATGACAAGAAGAAACTCTGTTTTCTGATTTGGTCTTAGCTCAATGCATGAACATCTTCACCCCACCATATTTATCAAACCAAATTTGGAATTTCCAGTGCTTGAAAACTAGTATTATACTACATAACTGAGAGAAAACTATAATGGATGAGCTATGGTTCTACAAAATGATTGGGAATGAAATGTTACAAATTACAGCTTTTCGTGCTAGGTGTATGCCATATGTAGTTCATGGTTGATGATAAAATTTAGCTTATCTGAGTGAGAGCTACTGTGATACCCAAGTTTTAAATGCCCTATGCGCTCATATCATCTGCTGTTTGTTCAGATTTTGATAAAAATATGTGAAGTCAGACTTGTTTATTCTTAATTTTGTTTTGTGATTTTCAGAGGAACCCAAAATATCCGGATTTTAAGCATAAAGATACTGGAGAAGCCTTGTGGATTGAAGGCCGGTACAATCCGCCATGGGTGAAATCCCAACTTGCTATATTGGATTCAAGAATGGGGACCCTTAATGACCAAGATCTTAAGATGCACTCAAATATATTTGCTGGGGATGATTTTTCTCCTTTCTAAGTGCTTGCGGTACTACTTGTATTGTAGGAAACCAGTTTCGAAGGGGTAATTTATGTATAGATTATCAATTTTTGGTGGAGATACTGAAGAATTCGGCTTTGATTCTCTAGTTTTGTACCCTATATTTTGCAATTTATATGATGTGCTGCTAATTATTTGCAATCCATTCATCTGGAACTTGCCCAATATTGCTGTTACAATTTAGAATTTTGACATCGAAATCGAGCATCAGTATTATCAATTTAATTACAAGAGCACCAGCAATTTATAGCTGAAGCTTCAAGTTAACCTCAAAAATGAAAAGGGGGGATAAGATTGCATTAACCTCAGAAACAATCAATGAAAGGAACAGCTACATGTATTTGGATCTGCACAAAACTGCTGTATATTTAGACTTCGTGTAATCTTATTGTTACATATAATACATAACCTTATTATTAAGATAAATGGAACATTTCATCTTCTGTACAATTTGATTTCAACTAACAAGTTCCATTACTTTTTCTTTACATATTGATTTTGAAAGGGGAAAATCAAAATGTATCCTGAGCTACATATATCTGTCTGTGTCTTTCCTGTAGTAACCTCAAATTCTCAGCAATTGTTGGAGAACCCAAGCAAAATTAAGGAGTTCCATGTGTCTCCTTAATGTATTGTCTTTCTTTAACACCTTGTGTGTGGTTGTTTTCAGAAACACGAAGTCAATCCTCTAGCTTCAGTTCCTTTCATGATTCTCAGCCTTTTGCAGGAAGACGCAAACATACTGCAAACAACAACAAAAAATCTCATGAGTTACGAATTTGTAAGAGATCGAACGCGAAAGGAAACTGAAGAGATCTAGAGAGAGATCTAATCAAAAGAAAAAAGAACTTACTTCCATGGGACATCTCCAACAAGCATCCAGTCACCATCTTTATCTTCATAAGTAGGAGCAAAGTCAGATCCATTAATGTAGCCTTGTGTCTCTGAGTAGTTTCCAATATTGGAGAGGTTGAACATGTTCTCCAAGGCCTTGAGGAGTTCTGGGTAGCTCTTGTAAACCTTGAGATCAATCTTCCTCAGATAAGGAGCTCCATCGACGCTTACTTTCACGTATGCCTCTGGCTTTCTTGCTTGCATGCTGTTTTTCCTATAAGATCTCACTGGAGGCCACCCAACTATTTGTGTCCTGCACACATTTCATTAACCAAAACCTAATTAATTAAACTTTCTCAAAACTATTAACGTAAAATTCACAATCCGTATGTTTTTGTAGTTGGTTTTTCTTTGAGTTTATATATGAATTGCTTACTTGGTGGGAGGGGCATCTGTGTGATCAGAATTTGTACAACACTCCTCCGCCGTTGGATCTGGTGATGACCTCTTGTTGTTTCTAGGAGGAGGAGGTGTTGCTGCTTGTTTGTTCTCAGGCTCTTCTGTGCTTCCAGGCAATCCCAATCTCAGCTCGGTTGCCATGAAGTTGAGCTGGTCTTCATTGTTCTCATATTTCACTGACCCTTCCATCTTAATCGATTTGCTACAAAACCTTTGTTTATTTAGCAGATTGCAGACCTAGCAGTGGAAAATTGAGAGAGAAAAATGTGCTTCTGTTGCTCTAAGATTTGTGTGTTTCAGTCAGGTGGAGTTGAAGTTTGATTTGGTTTTGTTGATGAAAAATAGGTGATGGCACTCAAACTTTTATAGGATGCAGTTTATGAATTGTGAGAGGGACAAGAAATATTTAGGTGATTTTCTTTTTCCATGGTGCATGGCAGCATGAGATTCACTCATTATTCTGACAAATGGTAACATCACATGCTTGTCCCCCACGCGTTAGTTCAATGACCAACCACAGGTCGACAATTGGACATACTGGAATTTCAAAGTGGGACCTACACGCTCTACACCTTGTTGATTATTCGATTAGAAATGCTACTCCGACATAAGTAAAATGTGAGATTACTGTGTAGAAATGTGTTTCATAATATGATTCATAAGCGTGATACAAAATAGTCTTACTATTGTGAGTTCAATTTTGAGCCGTGTTTACCTATACGCTAGTAGAGAGAAATTCTTGAGAGTCCGTTTAACGTATATAGTAACACACTCAGAGAAATAAGACTCCAATACATAGGAAACCTGTGAATGTGATTGAATGAGTGACGTAATCCAATAGTTGAACTTAAGAATTTTTCATTGAACCTAAAATTTTTTTGTGAATGAACAACTTAGAGTCATAGATACATGTAAGAATCACAATGCATTGGTTGAGAGTCACTCACTCACTTGTAGAGGATTATCCTTTGCATTTCTCTTCAATTTTATTACATTTTTTTTAATATGGTAATAATTTTATTTTTAATTGATTGGTTGTGGGTGGTAGATCGATTTTCTTTGTTTGGGTCAGACAGGTGAAGATATGGATGCTACTCACATGAGGAACACCGTGCAGTTTGGTGCCCAATGGGAGGGGGACAAAGGAGGGACCAACAAAGCCGATGGTATTGAAGACCGTGGACCGAGCATGGACGGCTCTGATGGGCTCTTCGAGTGGGCTTTGGGACTGTCGATACAAAGACCGTTGGATCAGGAGGATGGAACGGAAAACAGCCCATGTGACTGCAAACGGTCCCACGTGGATGTTGTTGATTGGAAAGGCGTTGGCCATGTGGGTAGAGAGAAGTGGGACCGGATATTTATTGGCCTGTGGTTACATGACATGTGGGATTTCATGTGGTAGGGTCAGCTGACCTTTCCCGTTCTCTCTCTTTGCCACAACCGTAATCGAACTTCGGGTGGTTGCACCAAAATAATTATAAAACCCACATAAAATATATAATTATATATTTAAAAGTATAAGCACAAAATTAAATGTTTTAACGAGACATAAATCATATTTTAAGTAAAGCATATTATAATGGAGTTACAATTAATCTCCATAAATATGTTCAATGGAAGCTTTAGCAACACATTCAGTAACACTTTTGTTTCTTTCTCTTTCGTTTTCTTTTTTATTCACAATCGTGTAATATTGTAGTTGGTACTAAAAGTTATGATTAAACTAATCAATGAATTAACTTATCACAATATATATTATGATAAATGCAATGCTACTTGTCTTCTGCAGCTGGACTAAGAGTATACATCTCGTTGCACATAAACGTGTCTTGTACAGCTGGACTAAGAGTGTGTATATCTTCTACAACTGGACTAAGAGTATACACCTTGTTGCATAAGTCTCTCTCACGCAGCCGAGTTTGATGTTTTTTTTGAAGAATTATATGTCTTTATGGATTAAATTAGATGCAATGCACTATGGTTATGTGGATTTGGTGAAAATAAAGTATATGTTGATGGTGAAAATGACCAGATAATCCGGGCAGTTCCAAGCAATAGAAATAAAGTCATGAGTTATGACAAAAATGGAATAGAAAGTAGAGCTTTGTCTTGTATGTGAAGCAACTTTTCCATGGATTGATCATCTGGGTGGGTATGAATTAATTTTGCCAAGTTGTTCAATCTTTGAACGTGATCTTTTTCTTTTGCCCCATACCCTAGGGCCTCGGCCAAGCTAGCTACTTCCCAGTATTCCAAGTTCTAACAAATGAAAAAGAAAACCCTAGCTAACAGACACCGACACAACCTAGCTGGTTTGAAGCAACTTTTGGAATTGGCCAGCAAAGTCTGAGTTTTTCGACAGGGAAATATGAACACGCACTGTACACACACCAAGAAGACAACTCAGAATTGATAGCCATGCAAAAAAAGGAGGAGCAACGGACAAAGACGAGTGTCACAATTGAGCTACATTTGAGGCCCCGTAATTAATTTAATTTATTGTAATAATAAACTTAACATTTGCATGCATGGACCACTGTACAGACATGATAAGAATTCAGGGTCTACCACCTTTCTAATCTTTGTCAATATCAAATTTATACTCCATAGACCATAGACGTGACTCGTGAGTTAAGTTAGTTGACCAATAATATTGTGCCCACTTCTTTACTCCCGAGTTCAATCCCCCTCCCGATAAAAGTTTATGCATGCACCTACATTTTGTAATTAATGCATGAAAAATACAAATATAATATAAATTATAAAGCAGCATGAGCAATGAGCAATGAGCATGCATATGGGTTCGTACGTACCAATCAGCAATGTACTCACACGTGTGACATGATAAGACTGGAGAACGTTGATATGATCCATGTGGGGCAGGTGCCACACGTGGGTGCAAAATATTTGAAGTTTTGGTACCCGAAGAGAAGCTGAGAAGGCCCATTCTCCCTAATACCGGAAGAGATGTCCCTAGCTTCAATTCCTTTGCTGTCTGGCCCACTCTGTCTTTGTTTGCTACGCATTTGCCAACTGCCTTCTTCTTACGTACTAATATTAATATATGCATGGCCATGGGGGTCCTATATCCATCATGCATCCATGTGCTCATCTTTTATGTCATGTCTCTTCTCGCAATTAGATATGAGTTGTGCTATCTACAGTCGCCCCCGTCAAGCATGGATTGATGTCAGTCGTTGATGTCTTCTGACACTCACTTACATTAACATTAACGTACGGTTTAAAAGCACTCACGCGCGTGCGTACAGATATTACGTAACATTGGCTACCTGCAGCTAGTAATTAATACAAGACCCACAGCTAGCTAGACAATGTTAATGCTACTACACAGATACAGAATGTGTTCACACTTTGTAACCTAAACATATATGAAGGTGGTGGAGGTCTAGCTAGGTGTGAAATTAAACTTGGTCTATCGTATGCTTGCATATATTTTTCTTAAAAACTTAGCTAGACCTCCACCACCTTCATATATGTTTAGGTTAAAATTCAGATAAGGAATAAACTAGCACTGCCCATGATTTATAATCATTGATTAATTATTGCACCCAAGAAAATAAACTAAAATTATAAAGAAGAGAAAAATGTGGTGATTGAATTACAATGATTACTGATCATTAGCATTTGGACAGATGGGTGTTTCATTATACCTTTTTTTATTAATTATATGGTCATTTCACGTTACGCATCGCATGTATATATATATATATATAAGAAGTTTGTAGCTCAAGTGCTTAAAAGAAATTATTTTTACGTTCCCCGAGATTGCTTGTATTATTGTATCTCAAAAATGATATATTAATGTAATCTATCTTCTCTGGATAAGAAGATCTATCTCTAAGCATCTGGCTGGGCTTGGGTGGATCAGTTTGTGAGCAAGAAGAGAGAAGAGAGGAATTTATGAAGTTGAAAATGGATGCATGGTCAATGGGTCAATGGGTCAGTTTTGGTCTCATCTCATGGCATTCATTAATTAATTGAGTTTAAGTGGGGAAATTAAAAAAGAAAAGAATAAGAAGAATAATTAAATTAATTTAAGAGAAGGTGAGTCTCAGTGGGATGCCCTGCAGCGCCGCTCATGGGATCGGGTTTGACGCTTAGGGTGACAGACCCAACAACTTCACATGGCGACTCTTGTGGGCCCAAATCCAATTTCAATTCAATTTTGCACGACCCACCCAATGAATCCCACTCACTATTGGGTCCCACTCCCTTCTCAACTCACCTCAACTAACCAAAAAACAAGATTTATTATAGCATTTTTCTTCCTCAACTATAACCTAGTATCTATAAATCATTGTTTACCAGCTGCAGAACATTTTTGAATACCTTAACAACAAGATTAGGGGTAGGGTTAGTGGCGTGTCGGGGCGTCTAAGTAATTGACTCTTGCATTGTAGATTTTATTGTGAAATTTACATGCATCTACGATTAGGAATTACTAATTACGAACACGTGATGAACAATTAACTGTAACAATCTTCACAAAGTATAATTATAAACAAACACGGCCGCGATGGGTACATATATACAATTTTGGAGTAACATCAAGACAGATCAAACACCACACATATTGGCCTGACAAACAAACAGTTAAGAGTGCCTGTCAAATAATTGCACAACTTTGTGCTTTTCTTCCAACAATTTCTTTTGGTGAAGCGATATGTATATGTAGCACATAGCCATAGATACCATAAAAGGGTACAACCCAACATTTACTTTTAGCATGTTTGGCCAACAATATCGTGGAGTAGAGGAAACACCAAGGCATGGCATGGTGTATATATAATAATTATACGACATGAAAATCAATCAATTTTAACCCCTTTTGATTCACCAAATATTGTTGGATATTCTCTTATATTGGAGATATCATATTATTTTATTATATTTTTAAAAACAAATTGGGCCGCATACAGTTTTAAGAGAATGAATGATAGTGGGGTCCATGACTAAAAAATATTAAAATAATATTTGACATCAAGCTTTCTGATATGTTATTTTTCTTAACCAAGAAGAAGGGGAAGAGATTTAGGGATTTCAAGAGAATAAGGAAGAGGGAATGTAAGAGAGAATATATCCTGGTAATTATGTATTTCATATTATGATATCATCGAATGGTAAACACACACTTTAATACAGTGCTTTTCTCCTAATATCACTCTAACAGACTTAACAAATACAGCTACTCTCACTAACAGATTTAACAGAGAGCACGTGAGCTGCACATGATGAACTAACAGACTCATGGTTAATAATTTTTGACCTATCTATTCCAGCCTTCAAATCCATATAAGACTTGACTATTCAATTGGAGCAACTTTAACCTTCAATTTTTTTCATTTCATGTCCATGTGG